GATGTCAGATGTTTGTTGGCTATTTTTATTTCAATCAGTATTTCAGATTATATACATTGTAGTTTACTGAATTTTTGTACGCAAGTTGGAGTAGACCACAGGTCGTTCCACGTAGAAGCAATCTTGCTACCCACTATTATTATTACTTGTACGCAAGTTGGATGTACGCAAATAAGAGGACACGGTAGGTAGGTCGGTAGGTAGGTAATAATATTGGTCGGTGATGACGGATGATGCTGCAGCTGTGCTGTTACGCTGTCTGGTCTTACAAAAATTTTAGGTATGCACAGTTCAAACCATCAATGGTTGTTATTCGCAGTCTAATAAGCCACGAGCTTGCCCTGCGCTACCGAAGTAAATCGAAAAGAATATTTTCTTTTTAAAAATTTATTTCAGCCTTAGGACCGACATAAATCCATCACTAGACTAACTTACTTTCTAAATTTTTGGTATTTTATATTTTGAATTTATCTATTTCTCAATACAGACTATCTTAACAATATGGATATTTTAATTTAATCATTAATAAGAATAAACATAACAGGCTAATAGAATCGATATCAAGAATACATAAATAATATAATTACATTTGCAAAGCATATCATATCTGAAAGGATTATTTACTATCGTCTAATAAGTTTGCCAAATATGTAACTCGCTCGTCGTCAGGGTCGCCAGAACTCCTCGACGCGTAGCCGACCCGCTGCGCTAAAGTCGCCCAAAATCGCCGCCATCGATTCAAATGTTAAAAATTAAATACAGTTTTTTTTCAATTCTGTTTTATTAAGAATTATAAAATTACTATCATTTAACAAATATTTAAATAAGCATACAAAATTTAACAAAATTTTATAAAGTTAAATTTTAAAGATAAAATTAGTTTAGATAGATTAATATAAACTTTCAACCGGAAGATTGCGATTAAATCACTCAGGTAATCATACTCAGGCATCAGCATTAAGACAATTATCTTTCTTATTCTAAAAGTGTGCAATCAAATGTATTGCAACTAAAAATGCTTACCAAATTTACAAGAATTATTCCATAAATAATTCAATTAACATAAACATTGACTAAATGTCAGATAGTAGTAATTATGAAACATAAACTTAGTTTAGATAAATTAATCATTATATCACAGTTATCACTATTATCCTCAGCATAATCAATAAAGCAATAAATTTGTAGATTGGTCCATGCAAGTCTTTGGTGTAAAAAATCGCAAGTTTGTGAGCACAGCAACATTAGCTGGGAAACGTTTTATTAATTCTTCACATAATTTAACCATAAATGTTCGTGACCTCAATTTTACAGTAGCTAATCTCTCAGCAGGAATAGTTGCTTTACTCGCATACGACGAAAACTTAGTTCCAAAGTCGACTGATTCCAAGGGCAGTAAAGAGTCTCCAAAGTCCGAATTAGCTTTTAATAAAGCTCCTTTTACAGCTGCTATATCTGCTTCATGTAACATCGCTGTAGATGCAGTTTTAGGAGCAATAGGCTTCAAATAAATGGGTTTAAATATGCGTCGGGCAACAGATAACAGTAATATTCTGAGCTCAGAATATAATTTTGTGATATCAGCATTCGATTTAGAACAGTATCTAAAAAAATTAAATAAAGAAGATTACACAATTTGTGAATATTTGAAAAAGATGGAATTATTTAAATGAAACGTAACAGTCGTTGCACACTGTAGGTAGGTAGGGGTTACCTCTTATTTACGCTCAACCCAGTTGCGTACGATATTAGTTTCTTCTTGAGAACTTCCCATATCTGCATATATGATGTAAATTTGAAAAAACTGATTGGGAGAACTCTTAAAAACCGATTGTATGATTTTGGACTAGCAAAAATTAATATTTTGTCTTTATCACCATCATCCGCCAATAAAACGTTCGTCATTTCAAGCATATCATTTGTTAGAATAATATCTTCACACATGGGTTCTTTTTGCACTCCACAAACTTTATTCCGATGTCTCCAAAATGTACTGTCTAAATTGCTAAAGGTCGGCACACGCGCGACAAACTCGTATCCACGTTGATCAACTGCCAAAAACTCTTAATGATAGATCTCAGAAATAGGGGTATCAAGTTCTGCACGCACTCGTTTTTTTGCACGATTGGTTGATTTTAGCACTTCAATGTCGGCAATGTTAGGTACACATTTATCATGTTCAACAACATTTACAACACTTTTTAATTTAATTTTCCTTTACAAGCGTGCAATTTTGGATTCAAATACAGCCACGTAACAATTCTGAATTTATTCGTACGAAATTCGCGATATGCGTAAATGTTATGCAAAGCACATGGACGGCGTTTTGTTGTTTCGATGATTTCAAAATTGGTAGTATTCATCTTGAAAACTTAAACGTAAGATACCTAATGACGTAACACAGGATGCGAAATTAGAATACTTTGTTTTTGATCAATACTCGTCATATTTATTTAAGTTAAAGACACCCCCATTTATTGTTGATGCAAAGGTTTGGCGAATAAGATGTTATTAATTATTCAGGGAAATGTCGTTACTTAAATATGGTATTTGGTATTACATACACATAATGATAATTTATTATAATCCGCTTCAGCGCGCTGGGGTGTCTATTAGGTCTTCCCGGGCGTTTGTATGTTCAGTATAAGTATTTAAATATAAATGAAATTTGTTTATTATATATAGTATGTGATTATTTAGTTACCTACTGATGATGTAACGCGCATCTCTGCTAAAAATAGATGTCAGATGTTTGTTGGCTATTTTTATTTCAATCAGTATTTCAGATTATATACATTGTAGTTTACTGAATTTTTGTACGCAAGTTGGAGTAGACCACAGGTCGTTCCACGTAGAAGCAATCTTGCTACCCACTATTATTATTACTTGTACGCAAGTTGGATGTACGCAAATAAGAGGACACGGTAGGTAGGTCGGTAGGTAGGTAATAATATTGGTCGGTGATGACGGATGATGCTGCAGCTGTGCTGTTACGCTGTCTGGTCTTACAAAAATTTTAGGTATGCACAGTTCAAACCATCAATGGTTGTTATTCGCAGTCTAATAAGCCACGAGCTTGCCCTGCGCTACCGAAGTAAATCGAAAAGAATATTTTCTTTTTAAAAATTTATTTCAGCCTTAGGACCGACATAAATCCATCACTAGACTAACTTACTTTCTAAATTTTTGGTATTTTATATTTTGAATTTATCTATTTCTCAATACAGACTATCTTAACAATATGGATATTTTAATTTAATCATTAATAAGAATAAACATAACAGGCTAATAGNCTTCTAACTGTACAAAAAAACCTTTCAAAGCATCACATTGCTTCAAAATAACTGAAACTGTATTCGTACACGCTAACCAACGTGTACCTGATAACTGTACTAATTTTGGAGGCTTTTTACCACTACTCAACTTTTCATACATATTTTTGTAAATAGTTTGTCGTAATGGGCTTCTTGAAAACCAATTCCTGACTCTTTTAAGAGGAATTCAACTGATGCTGGCAATTCGTCACTTGCTTTAGAACCACATAGACTGAGAGAATGACAACTGCATTTCATGAGTTGAACATTACAATAATCTTTTCGGATCAGAGTAACCAACTATGTTTAACACCACACATGTTATTAGCTCCATCCGTACCAATCGCCACAAGTTTATTTATATCCAGGCCTAGTTTTATCAAAAAATCTTTAAAATTTTTATACAAACTTTCAGCTGTAGCAGTAAACACTTCGGCAAAGCCTAGAAAATCAGTGACAAATTGATCTAGGGACCGACTGATGTAACGAACACAATATGCCATGTATTTAATAGTTGATACGTCAGTTGACTCATCAAGGATTATAGAGTAATCTTGTTCACCAATATCAATGATAAGTTCCTCCAACATCACCGGCGCCACAACATTTACAATCAGTTTGGCAGCTTTAGAAGGGTGGAGGCGTAGTTTTTCCAACTGGCTTCCTTTTCCAAGTTCTTTTAATACCTCGCTTAAATGGTCAATACTTCGAACTGAACTGTGACTAGCTGTGTACAAAACCATTTTTAATTCCGCAATCTTCAATTCTTTTTTTTTGCGATGAATTAACTGAAAATAAAAATATATTTATATTTTCATATTAAAAAAAAATTTACAGCTGTTTTATATATGACAAGAACGTACTGTCACTTATCAATGATGGTTGTTCTTTCCGATTCCAAGACCTTGCTTGTCGTCGATGAGAATCTGTGATAACATGCTTTTTTAAATCAGAAGCATGAACTCTTAGAGACACCTTGCAAAACTTACATCGTGCTTCGCCGTGTCCTGCTGCTATTAACTCTGTTGAATTTTTAGTCAACCAGCCTAAAAAAAAGTTGAAAACATTTGTTTGGTTTTAGTTAACCTATAAATGAAATAAATAATATTTTGAATTTGATTTTCCCACGCTTCGCGCTAATGCTTTGCATTTGTCATATTGCGCGCACTAGAATCATTTAATTAAAATTTTTTATTGGCAAAGATTTCATATGTAGTAGTAAAAATAAATTTCATGAAAGTCTTGAAGTTAATCGAAACTCGTAAAAAATGGGAGACGATTTATCATTGGTCGAAATGTAGGTGCCTGCGTAGCGCGTGATTCAAATATTTAGTATTCATATAAAGTTCGATCTGTGCATCTATATGTACATAAAACTAGAATAAAATCTTTCATAGTTTTTAATTTAAAAAACAAAAATTCATTCTATTGTTTCATTTCAAAAGTCGCCCATCGGCGACGAGTCGCCTTCAAGAACATTTTAGTCGCCGAGCCTTGTCAAAAGCAGCCTAAATGGCGATAAGTCGCCGCATCTGGCAACCATGCTCGTCGTTCCAAGCCGGGTAAATGATATCCGTTCAATACTGTACTACGTTGCGTCGCTCGTCACTTATGAGAGCGAACGGTCCCCTGGTCGTATATTATTATTATTATTATCGTACTTTGTCATCGGTGACACTAAACCCTATGATATCTCCTCTGCTACAATCGTTTTTCTAACCATCATAGGTTTATTTAGAATACACACAGAAAGCCTTTATCTCTCTCTTTTTCCTTAATGAAGAACTTAACAAATTTAAACTTAAAAAGTCACATATACCTACATAGCCTTTTATTTTAAAGTAGAGTTAAACCGTACGATGTTCGAGTGGAGTTTTAAAAACCACTTTGTTTCAACAAATTTATTTGATTAGGTTATCAGGAACCTGGATTACACTTTATTATCTTAATTATTACTCACAATGATGGCAAAAATGAACAAGTAACGTAGGTTTCACCTATAAAGTACACTGTTATGTAAGAAAATTATGAGCTCATATACTAATTGGATGTGTCATGGCCGGTGGTATAATCTATAGGTAGGGGCAAAAGTTGCTGGATGTAACTCCTCCTCTCTTATGATAAAAGACGTCCTCGTCTTCAAACGATTATAGGACGAAGAGGTGCTGGAGATTCTTTCAATTCCTTGAGTTTTACCATGTTCGCCATTGACTCGGTGTCGGTTCTTCTTGAGCAGAACAGACCTTATCCGTTCCTTAAGACACGAGGTAGCGATTAGTGTGGTCAATATCACGAACGAGAGGGTCGTGATGGCAGCGTGTGAAGCGAAGGTCAACTGCTGTAGATGGACCAGAGTTTTTTCGATCTTCTGCAGCAGTGTTGTTATTTCTCGATGGTCTTGGGGATAATTTCTAAGTTTGAGAAGCCCTTCCTATGGAGTTTGTAGGGTAACCATTCCAAATTGGACTTCTTCTTTCTTTATCAGTGTAGTTTCTTTTTGAAATAATTGTTGATTTATGATGGTCATTTTGTCGTAATTAATCAGGTAGAAGCCGCAGCCATATTGCTTGTTATCAATGCTCCAATGATTAGTCGTGGTCATCAGCAGGGTTCCGTTCCGTAACGCCTGGATTTCTTCATAATTTTGAATGTAGATGGTGGGAGACATGGACAATTCTGCGACATTTGTCTTAACTTGATTAGAACAGTAATATTGGTTTTTATTTACTACAGCACAATTGCTATACCATAGGATAAAGGTTTCATATTTGAGCATAAAGACAGAGGGTATTAAAAGGATAGTATTTTCTTTTATTAAGGAATGAATTTTGTTTAATTTGAATCGAATAGGTTTTACAATAGGGAAGCTGATAATACACAACACAGTATCATTTGACAAAATAATGGTTTGTTTGTTAAACTTTAATTGATTTAATGGTTCTTCTTCATCGATAGAAAGTAGTTGACTTTGTTGTTCACTAGTTAAGGGTTTCACGAGGGGAACAATATTTGAGAAAATGTCTTTCAATTCGAAAGCAATTTCCTCAAGTTCCTTAATAAACCATTTAATACAGTCTTCGCCGGTATACATTCTAAATAGGGAAAGTGATTCGTCGTTATTTTTAATATTTACTTATAACAGTTTTTGTATTTTTAATGAAAGGCGGTAAATCTATATATGTTGGTTTTCTTATATNTTTCTGTACTGTGTCTTGATGTAATAAATATGCCTTTTAAATTCCTCTAGTGTAATTTCAAACTTTTCCATCAGTGCCTTTCCCGTACTTTCTGTTTCCTCTTTAACGTTTTTTATAACTTTGATTTTCTTTCCTGCCTTCTCTATCACTTCAGTTTTACTTATCCATTGAGAATATCTTGCTATGATTTCGTCTTTTGACGTATCAAAATTAGTTGTTTTTGATAGGCATACGGAACAGATTCCTGTCATACATGCTAATGAGTCTGGATTGCATACTTGGTCTACAATAATCTTATTAAGATCTGATGTTGGAATAACTTTGTTTTTGCACAAAGCAAATGCTAAGTATTGGATATTAGTATGAATTCGACACAAGCATGTTTCTCTTGCAGCGACAGTAGGAGGCACAACAAAAAATGGTCTGTAACGTGTAAAAGTTTTGTAACTGCATCTCAAGGCAGGATTTTCCTGCTTAAAAGATACATAAAGGTTCTTCATATTATCGAGTAAGTAGCGCTTCTGCATTTTATCTTTCTTTAGAGACACGGCTTCCTTTTTTCCAGCAGTTGCCCTTGATATGTCGTCACGTTCGAAAAATTCCTTGATTTTAGTACTTAAAATCTTTACTTTAAAAAGAGGTTGTTGTTTTCTTACGTAACCCTGGTCCACAGCAAGACATTCTTTTATAATTTGTGTTTTCTGCCTAGAACCTTTAACGGTCTTCTCTTCAAATATTTTTTGAATAGCAACTTTTTCCTTCCGGGTTTTTACATTTTTATAGCGTTTTTTAATAGCATTTGATAAAATCTGATATTTCTGTTGATTACATCGATTGCCGTCTTCATTTTGAAATCGTTTTTGTTTTTCTCTGTTGTATCGTTTTTTGTACTTTTCGTGTCTCTTGTTTACTGTCTCTAATTGTTCCTTTAATTTCATATTATCTCTAAATAGCTTTGATCTGTTTCTTTTTATTTGCTTCCTGCCGCGTACCGCTGCTGATGTAGAGTTAGGAGTGCTTTCACGAGAAGTAGACAGCCGAGGTGGACTATTTGAACGAGGGGGTGATGACTCTGGAGTGTGCATAATCATACTGAGAGCTTTGGCTTTATCTCTTCGTCTGGCATTCGCACATCGCCATTTCTTTTTTATTGCTCGATGTTCACGTGTTGTTAAATCACGTACTAAGCGTTTGTTTGCATGGTATCTTTCTCTATCTTTTCTTTTGGTTTCTTCTTCCTTCTCTTGATTATTTCTACGGCGTTCCCGGTATCGTCGCTGCTTCTCAGCAGGCGTAAGAGGCATTTTAATAACGCAAACAACGCATAATATCCTGTAACAATGAGTTTTTGGGGTTATTTATATTTATTATTTCGATTTATTTGTATACATATAACAAATTTATCCATTGCTTGAGACAACTGATTAAAAAAAATAACATTTGAAACATAATATTTTAGCCAAATAACAGAATATAATGGCTTATGCAACTCTGTTACTTTCTAAACAACTCTGTTACCACACGATAGTAACAGAGTTGCGTAGTAACAGAGTGGTAAATTTTACATTCCATTATACACAAGTCAAAAAATAAAGCGTAAAGTAAAATATTTCGTTCACATTTAACACATTTACCCCTCAGACAATAAACTGAACGTAAACTAATGAAAAAATATTCATTTACTTATGTGAATAGGTAGGTAACAAGGTGGACGGGCAATTTAAACACGCAGCACGTTCAACACCTTGCGGTCGACTGTCGAGCGACATACCCCTCCCCCCAACCTAACGAACTCCCACGACGAATGCAGACATTTCGCCCAAAATAAAACAGTGTCCAAAACAGCGCCATCTTCATTTTGAGTCGTGAATTAGTTAGTAACATAGTGAACCAGCCGGTTCCAGATAGTACGTGGGACAAAGTTTAGAAAATTATTTAAAAACTAAATTTTAATACTGACTGATTTTAAAACATATTTTATTGAATATTTATAATACTCTGTTTACGATTATAATTTATATTAAGAGGGTTACTATAGTAGAAAATGCATTTATATGATGTTTATTGTAACGGAATGCTACATGGGACAGGTACAATTTGTAAGGAAAACCTTTCTGTTACCACTAATGACCATTTTGTTAATTGAAAAAAATTGAAAAATATCGAAACTTGAGTCTTTATTCCAATAATGGATGTTCGCTATAGCGATGTATTTTGTATTTAATATATAATTCGTTAAGGATTTTGACATTATTAATAACAAAAAAATAAATAATGTTGAGGGACTCGTTTACCTGCGCAAAATTTGACAATGACCCAT